AAGTATAGAGGTTATGTCTTTGTTCCAACGTTTAAAAGATTTCCTCAAAAAGCAAAGAGTTCCTGGACAGCAAAACAGCAGGTAAAGGATCATGCCGTTACATTACTTTCAGATTTGGCTTTATGATAATGCTGTGCAACATGCACTTAACGTGACAGTTTTCAGGCTGTCCTGCTTTGCATACTGATTTATTTTAGGAATAAATGACGTACCTATCAGGCAGGCAGAAGGAGCCAAAGGTAATTTAATTGTGCCACCCTGAAATCTCAGGAAAATCCCACTGGGTGTTTACTGAACCAGTCTACTTGCTGCTACATCCAGAGCTGGGCCTATGCTGTGAAGCTGGGATCCTGTGCCAACCGTTCCCTCCATGCTGGGTCTGTCATGCCAGAGCTTGCTGCTGGCCCGTTCTAAAGACAGTAAAAAGCTATACAAGTACACACACACTCCCATCACCATCCATCGCTTGAGATACCAGCATCCTTCTGGGGGCTGTAATGTACATTTACACACGTGCATATATGCATATGCGCATGTCACCCCCATAGGTGCACCATGGCATTCCTAAGCATTTGGCTGCTTCAGGGAGATGCCATTAACTTCTTCCCCCTAACTACGCGGCACTGAGGTGGAGAAAAGGGAGCATTTCCTCTAGGATAACCTTACAGCTCTCTACTGGAGATCAGGAACAGTAGCTCTGCATTGCTGAAACACAAAGCTCGTATCTGGCACTGGAAAATCTCCCAGCACGAGGCCTCACCACTGGGCGCTGCTAATGGGTGCAACCCTTTTTGTACCCATTTTAAAAGCATTTTAAGATAACAGTTTCTCACCTTTGGAATCTTAGAAAGCGTATTCGCCCCAGTACTGAATGAAGCATGGAACTTAGCAGGTAAAAAAAGCTTTTAAAAGTAAATACAATGTTTTTTTCAAAACTTCTCTAGCTTTTTCTCTGGATTTCTGTAAGAGATGTGACACATTCAGTATACATGTTGTGGGCTAAAACAAATGCCTCATTGGCATTTACACAGATGGCCTATATAAATCATGCAGAGGGCACACTAACACCCTCCCAAAAATCACTTTTCTTTTTTCTCTCTGATCAGTAGGTGTGGTTGCATTCATATCTATACATACGTATACATACACATATATATGTGTGTATACATATACAGAGAAATGAGAGGGCTGACTTCTGAAAGAGCAAATTATGTATGCCTATGTGTGTGTATTTTTGCATTTATACACATATACGTATATGTATGTACATATATATAGACAGGTACATTCACGTATATATATCTGTATACATATAAACACATATGAAAGTGTAAATACCTACACACACGTACATACATACATGATTTGCTCTTCAGTAGTCAGTCCACTCATTTCTGTAGATAAACAGAGCACATTAGTCAATTAGAAAAATAACATTTAAATAAAATAGTTGCAACTCTTTCAATTATATAAAGTTAATGTAACTTGACTACTAGCTTTATTTATCTCTGTTATGACAATTAATCTGGTCCTAAAGACTCCCTTGTTGTAATGTAATGCTTGCCTCTCGGGAAAGAATAGGAGAAGGATGTTCTATAAATGACAAAGCTGGTGCAGTGTAGACAATATCAACATTGAGTGTGACAGATACTGAACTCAGAGCTAAGGAAGTAAAAAGAAATATATTAATCATTGATAAAATTTGCATAAGAAAATAATAATAAACAAAAGATCAATCATTTTGATTCCAGTGGGACTGTAAAATGTGGAGAAAACAAGTCATATAGAATGTTGCAATAAAGAATACTGCATATACTCTATACACAGTACAACAAACTTTGCATTGCTTCCCCACTGAGGATGTTAAAATTTTCAGTTGTTGCTAGGTGATCTTGCCTATGAAATATTGCCCTAACCAAAAAGTCATGTGCAATAATACTTAATAACAACAAAAAGCAGAATAAAAGCAAGTTGAAATTTGGGTAAGATATTCAAAAGTTTTTCTAGAAGGGAAAACGCATCAGAATAGCTATTTGCAAATATACTCTACTTTAACTATTCCAAGATCATCTCTTGTACACACTAGTCTTGAAACAAAATCACTTAATTCTGGGACCGTCTGTGTGTTTTCAAGGCAAAGCTCCTTTCTTGTAGTAAATTTACTTTAATCCAAAATCTAGTATCTACCCACAGAGTTTTTCTGGAATGGCTTCCAGTAAATTTTTCTGTGAATAGAAATTTTACGTCAAGTACTTTTGTGAAAAATGTTATGAAATGTACTCAGGAAGACTTCTGTGTAAGTGACACAAAACATAATAAAACCAAGCATAGTTACTGTTTTAATCCAGTCTTCTGCTAACTGGCAGTCTAGATTTGGTTTATCTCAGACATCTGCAATTCTGCTATTCTAGCTGAAAAATGGTGATTATCTCATGAATACTCCTCAACACAATGAGCTTAAGCACCTGCTTAAGTACTTCGCTAATACCTGGCTTCAGCTAGCATATTAGAGCAGTGAGCAATTACGGTTATGATATCGACTGCATTTTGCCACTCTGTTTAGTGCCCTGATTCCATAATATTTTCATTTCCTACCCTCACTAATTGGCTAAGATTAAGATATCACAACTGGGCAGTCCTATTCAGGATTTAGAAAAGATAATTTAAGGAAAAAGATGCTTTGTGGGACAGTCTTTAATATATTTCACTATTTCCCATGCTTTATAAACATGCCAGAAAGCAGGGTATATTTCACATTTTTTCAGCTCTACCAGTACAGCTTTCCAGCTGAAACTTTTTTTCTTTTCTCTTCCTTACAGAAACAGAAGCAGAATATTCTCCTCTGTTGTAGAGGTGATGACTCTTCTTCTCCTAATATTGCTCCTCAGTTTGTTGTGTCCCCTCTATAATTTGATTTAGACACTTATCTACCTTTTTGTGACAATCAAGGGTTTCCAATGATCTTCTGTCTTTATGGTCCATAGTTCTTTTAAAGCAAAACAGAGTCTTTCCATGAATTGGTGGTCAATTAGTTTCATCTTAAGGACAGCTAGCATGAATGGATTTTTTCCCCTTTTTGGAACAAGGTGATAAAATTTGGTTATGTTTATATGCATTTTTCTGCTGAGTGCATTGAGGCCCAGGATTCATTCTAGGGACCTTAAAGTCTGATTGGCCTGAACAACCTAGGTCATTTAATGGTGATAAGGGAGAGTTTTTAATTACCAAATTTCAAGGTATAAATTTCATTGCCAACACCAAAAATAGCAGAGTCATCTTCCCTGTAGCTTCCATGGTTGACATCAACAGTACTGAGGAAAGGGCAAAGTATGACTTTGGGAAGTACAAAAAGGCATGTGACATCTTTATTTTAAATAATTTTGTGTTATTTAAGCAAAATGAGATTGAAAATATCTTATGGATATAAGGTTCCTTACAGCTCCACACCTTCTCCAGACCCTGGGCCACATACAGGTTGCAAGTGTGGAAACTGGCTGTTTCAGAGCAGTGCTACCAGCTTCTACTGGGGCCTTGACCAAGTCATGTGTTAACTGTCCTGCCTTGCCTTGTCTGTAAAATGGGAACAATTCTGTTCACTGGCCCATTTAACAAGGCCACTGTAAAATTTACTCACTTAACATCTGTGAAGAGACTAAAAACAGAAACTAGAAGGGCTAGGAGCATAGTGAGCTTCATTCAGCATTACTTTATTTGGGTAGCCAGCTGGCTGATTCCTAGGGTGGCAGTAAGAGGTTGACCCATTTGGCAAAAGCTAATGTTATTTATATTTGTCTTACACTGAAAATTAATGTCCCTGTGGCTTGGGTTTCAGGCTCAGCAACTTGTATTCCATATCACAAAGCCCACAAACACCAACACCACTAGCTCTTCACATCTCTAGGTAAGAGCAAATACAAAAGCCATTGTGGGGGAGCAAAAGGGGACTGGGGGGAAGGCAATACAAAAAGAAGTATTTCAGAATATGCAGAGCTATCGTTTGGATAGGAGCCTGATGACCTCATGACATCACATGGGGTATGTTAAATTAGATGGTCTAAATAAGACAACACATTAACAGACTAAGCACTGTTTTGGAAGCCACAGAGCTCTGAATCCAGTTCTACTTACTGGGTGGCCTGTGCAAGAAATGTCATCTTTTTGGGTCCACTTTTTCAATCTATAAAAGGGAACTATAACTACCTCATGAAACCTGGGCAGTACCACTGGGTAATGTTTGTACAAAACTTAAAAGGATAAAGAAAAAAGTACATGTTGCATAACTGCTATTGGCTTTATTAACTTAAATCACCAGGCAGCTGTCCCTTAGCTACTCAAGTTCATTTTTAATCTCTGACATGTCCCTCTGTCACTGCTTTCATGAAGAAAAAAGGCTTGCTGTTTCACTCCGTGCCCAGTTTTACTATTTACCTGGATGCTTCCTCCAATATAAAAATTAACATGTAAGTAATAGAAAATTCCAGTGTAATGACAAAGGTTCATTTCTATCTTTTACTCTAATTAAAACAATTCTGTCTATGTTACATAGAGGACATCTATCTATGTAGAGCTCTATCTGAAGATGCAGTCTTTGTATAAACTCTGAGGATCTCACGTGGCAAACAATTAAACAACAGCTGTGAAAACATCTAGAGCGTTTTACAATTATTCTTATACAAAGATCTTGAAATACTTTATAAACACGAAGATTATTATTCGCACTAATGGGGAAACTGAGGCACAGCTAAACTAAGTGACATGGCCATGGCTGCATGGAGCGTTTGTGGCAGAGCAGAGAGACAGCAGCTCCTGAATCTCGTGCACCCTTAGCCCCGACTTAAAACTACTCTTCCTTTCAGCTTATTTCTCTCCCATCAAACTTAACATCAAATAGGAGATCGCCTGCACCGCACAGTCATGCCCTTCCCTTCTCCGTTGGCGGCAGGGGTGTTCATCACAGCTTACCCACCCCAACCTGCCAGTCCCCATCCCCGTGTACCCACCTGCTTGTAGGCGTCCAGGAGGAAGCTGTTCCAGACGCAGCGCAGCCCCTCCGAGGTCAGCATCCTCCGCCACTCACCGCGCCCGGACTTAGACCGGCTCAGAAATAGCACCATGTGCTTCAGGAGGATCACAGAGTCATACAGCGCAAGGAAGAGGCAATTGGAGAAAAAGACCGGCAAGATCTGAAGCGTGATCAGCAAATCCACACTCAGCAGACCCATCTTCCTTGCTGCTTCTCTTCAGCCGGATGCCTTCAGCTCCCTTTTTTGCTCTGTACACTCATTTAAGAAAGTAAAGTAAAAAGCGTTTCGAAAGCCTCGTCACCCCTCTCTCAGCCGTTCTCTTTAAAACAAGCAGAGAGAGTTAAATGTGAGCAGGCTGGTTAAAACCATAACTGCATGATACTCATTCAACTCGGAGCTGCTTATTTTTCAGAAACTAAGATGTTAACAAAAATTCTTCCCTTAACCAGGAGACCTGATTTTGTTGAAGAGAGAGGCAGCTGTGTTTCCAGTTCCCTGCAGTTACAAAATTTAAGCTGAGACTGTTAATTGTTAACTTTCCTGCACTATCCCATTGTTTCTCAGCTACTTAAGCACTGAACAGACCTCTCATTTCTGTGTCAGTAAAGCTAGCTACCAGGTGCAACAATACTTTTTTTAAAAAAGGTTTATGTACATAAACTTTCTGTTCCTCCCTCCCTCCCTCCCTCTCTCTCCTTCCCTCTCTCCCTTCCCCCGCTCCCCTCCCGGCGCTCGGTATTCCTGCCTTCCTCCTCTCGCCCTCTCTCTTGCTATCTGCCTATGGTGCAAAGTGCTTTCCCCTCTGGAGTCCTAGCTTGCTTCCCTGAAGCCTTTTATACATTCCCTAGCTAATTGCTGCAATAGAGAAATGAAACCCTAATCTTAGTAAAGATCTTGACGTCAATGTAAAAGAGGGCTTTACTTTGGCCAGGACTGCAGTGAATAGAAAAATGAAATTCTCAAAACTTTTTTTTTTTTTTTTTTTTGTTTTAAGAGAGAGGAGAAAAAAGAGAGACAGACAGCAAGGGTGGAACTTTGCTTTGCTTTGAAAAGGAAAAAGAAAAACACCAATATGCTTCTGACTGCTTTTACGAAATGCTTTCAAATTTTGGAAAAAGTTTTTTCATATGACATGGAAGGTGACACAGCAACACAGGCTTCTGTTGTCAATATTTTTTTTCTCTTTTTTTTTTTTCCTTTGCCCTTTTGTCTTTTCCAGGAAGGTGTGTGAGTTAATGCATCCCAAGAAAAGGCTCATTTATGTACATTTTCCTCCCTGTACATGAAGTACAACATATATAGTGTTTAAATATCTTTTGTTGTCTTCTTGGTATTTAAAGAAAACATAAGTAAACACCCAGTACTGACTTCACCTAGTGATGTGTAAGAAAACAAGATAAGAAAGAGAGAAAAAAAAGTTTTTGAAGGATTTGGGGTTTCTAAGCTAAAGTTCCCTGCTTAAAAATAACATACTACAGCCTTAAATGCTGTTAATCAACTGAGCTTCAAGGACTTTAATATTCCCCTATGATAACTATTTACATCCACTAGTCTAATAAGGATAACTGACTTTTGGTTAAGCGCTTATTAAAAAAAAAAAAAAACAAAACAGAAAGAAAGAAGTTTCCTCTGGCAGAGCCACATGTGCTTTAACAACCAGAAGCATCCCCTGCAGCCCCATGCTGAAGGTTTGCTTTGTTCATTTGCACTTCTCTTTGTTTCACCTTTTTAGTCCTTTACACGATATTTAGTCCTGTATCCACATGATTTTTTTTTGGTCCAGTAGACACATTTTAGGGGGTTTTTTTTGTATGGTTCTAACTTCCTTAAGTAAATATTTCATGTATTTCATGTTGCAGACATCCATAATTTTGTTTTTGAGCGGATGCCTTGCTTATGTGTGCTCTCCTTACCAGATACATTTCATTCCCAGAGATGCCAGCATGATATCTAACCTCCGTCAACTCACATCCTTGATGAGTAGTACAAGCTTCCTTCATTAATATATCTTAGTCTTCATCAGTCATCACCATCCTTTCACTGCTAGCAACTGCAGAAGGTAAACACCATCAATCTTCCCTACTCTGGAATCTTTCATTTTCAGATATTGTAACATCACTTGGACTGTCATTATAGTAGGATGCATACCCCTTGAAAGGCCACCCCATGTCTTGTCTTGGGCTCACCAAATAAAAGTTTGTTTAGGTAGCATAATATCAGGCATTTGCAAAAGATATCACCCAGACAGGATATCTTCCAGCAAATGTTTACTCAAAGAGATAACTTTAAAAGGTTACGCACATTAAACCAGTGACCTTCTGCGTTACTAGCATAAACAAAAAACGGAACGGATTTTCTTTTTCAAACCATAACAATTTTTGAGTCAAAATGTTGGTGATGACAGTGTTCTGTTGCTATAGAAAGGATTGCAACCTCACAGATCTGGCTTTATTACTAAAACTTGCAAAAACACGTTATAAGTAGGCATTTCTATAGCCCCACATATGGATGAGTCAGCGTGCTCATGTCACGTGAGCACACCACAGGAACAAGGGTCCCCAGAGCTGCTAAACTAGCTTACTGTTTGACCTCAGGCAAGCATATGTAATCACTTGATTACAAGCACTCTTAAGCCTAGATTACTCTTCTGTAGATCCACCACTAAAACATACATGATTCTGTCTGGGAAGGTCCCCTGGCTTTATTTTGGGAAGGTTTGTTAAAAAGCAGGCCTGGAGATTGTTGATGACGATGCCAGATGAATCATCAGCCATTGTTTCTGAGAACAGTTTGCAAACAGCTCTGAGGACAGTCCAGCTCAGGCTCTTCCTGTTCCCCAGAGGTAAAGTCAGGCAAGAACCTATGCTGGGAACACAATGTATTCTGGGTTCCTGTGAAACAACTGCCCCTACCCACAGCGTGCTTCATGGGTGAAAAGGTTGTTTGTAAGACAGCTGGAGACCAGACAGCTACGGAGCTTTGAAGTGCATCGGAAGCTGAGCAGGAAGCCCATGGAGCACGAGTGTGAGATGGTATTTCATATTTACTACGTCACCTTCCTTGCATGTAAGGCAGACTGTGTGTATCGAGTTAAACAGAACTACCTCAGGTTGTGTGTTTGAGAGCTTCAGTCAAGAGATGCTGATAGCTACCTAATCCAACCATAAAGACAAAAGACTTCTGACTGAATAAAAATGTAAAAAGACAGTTTTTGCCATTGTGGTCTTCAGAAGCAGTCTGTCCCTGCAGGGCACAAGCACTGCTTTTCAGCTTGACAGTCAGAGTACAGCAGCCCTCAACAGAGAAGAAAAGCATAATCCCTGCTTCTTGTTGATACCGCTTCTCTCTTTCTTGGCTGAAACAATTCATCCCTGTGTTTATTTCTCTCAGACATCAAAAACACAAGGGAAACCACTATTTGCACCTTTTGTGAAAGACAAGTATCAGCAGCTAATCTCAGTGTTGAAGCCAACAGTCTCTTATTTCCCTTCAAACCTTCATGAAGCAAAGAAGAAAGGCTAGATCTTTCAGACCTCAAGGCATTAAGAGAGCCTTTAGTCTCATGAAGGAAAATGGGATGACTTTGGTACGTGAGGAAGAATTAGGGAGGGTTGAAGATATGCATGAAAGAACTGAGATAGGGTTCAGCTAAAGCTCATTTCAGTTACCTGCTCTGCCATACCTTCCTATGTAATTTGGGCACAGCCCTACAATGTACCTCAGTTCTCCATCAGCAAAAGAAAATAAAAGTCCTCCCGTAATCTAAGGAGCAGTCAGGTTCAGTAATGGGAAATTAAACATATCATCCATAATTTGTCAAGGTGGAATGAGCAAAACCAACAACATTAAAGCATTCACTGTTACTGGACCTTGTATGTGGCTAAAGTCAACAGTATCGGTATAGATGTTCATATTCTGTAATGTTTATAGAAATCAGTGCCATCAAAACTGTATCCATGCATAGCTTTATGTTTCTTCCCAGTTTCAACCACAGTAGCATGAAGATTAGGACACAGGCAGCTAGTAAGTTTGTTTACTGCAACTCTCTCGATAACTGTGCCTAGACACAGGAAATCTGAGGTGAAGTTACTACTGCTCAGGCCACTTGCTCTGATCTCATTTTATAATGGATCCATACTAGCTTTCTGCATGTCAGATAGTGTATTTTACAACCTTCACTTGGTTGTGTAGGTCTTTACTTGTTTGTGGTTGAACTACCTGTGTAAGCTGCCACGGCACTCAACTGCACTGTATCTAGGTACCTAAATGCAAGACCCTAGAGCCCAAAACAAGCAGACTGATTGATATTTTGGTTACTCAGTCTTATTTTCTCAGATTAAGCAAGACCATTTTGAATGCAGTTATTCTTTGCAACACAGCTGGGAAAGGGTACCTCAAAGGCTGCTGCTCTGGTCCTACACGCAGGAGGTTCAGGAGACAGATCATCCCAAAGGATTCAGCACAACCTGTGTGCCTGCCTTGCTGCTTCTCACTGCTTTCACTGCCAAAAACAAAGAATGAAGCTTTTTGTTTGAGAGCTAGTTAGTGTGTCCATGAGCTTATCCCTGGAGAATTGCGCAGCTGCAGAGTGATATGGCTAGAGATGGGGAGGAGAAAGTTTAGCTTAGCTTTGCCTCCCTGGCCCTGGGCAAAATTTGTTTATTACAGCCAAACAAGAATTTGTACCTCTCATAAAACTGCGTTTTTTCCTCTTTGCCAAGAGAGAAAAATGTCCCCCTTCTCTCAGCAACAATTCCCTCACTTAAAATGCCATGGAGCGTTGACTGACTGCTATTTCCACTTTTTAATTAGGATCAGCAGCATATTTTCTTAAAGAAATAATATCTTCAATGAAAAATAAAAATTTTCAGGCAAGTGTCAGTGATACCTGGATGGATTACCCACAGAGTGGATTCACCAGGCCCTGCCTTCCTCCGTCACTCCTAGCCGCAGCACCATGTCTGAATGGAGCAACGTTCATCCCGCTGGCACCCAGCCCCATTCTGCCTGCTTAAAGCTGCCTCTGTTCTCTACAGGAATCTGCTTACCAGCTTTTCAAAGGTGAGCACACTAAATATATCCTTACTGCCTGATTTATTTACCTTTTGTATCAGCCTTGGTTTTGTTTTATTTGGGTTATTCTACCACTGCCATTATGCTCCATAATTGAGAGCTGATTATTCTATGAAACTGGCAGC